ACTTGTCCGGTTACTTTTGCACGCAACTGTACAAATCATACATACATACATACATACATACATACATACATACATACATACATACATACATACATACATACATACATACATATATACATACATATACAAATATACATACATAGATACATATATACATACATTGCGCGGCACAATAATAAGACACCCCAAAAAGATTTATAAAACTCTACTATACTTTTATATTTAAAAACTAATTTTTATTGTAAACGAAAGCAGGGTTTACAACACTAAACAACATTTTAACAAATTTATTTTTAATGTAACCCGCATTTTATAAAAAAAAAACAACGTTTTTTTATTGCAACAAAATTATAAAACAATTTTACAAAAAAAGTTTTATTTGCAAACCGCAGTTGTAGGCAATTAAGAATATTTATTTGATGTAAACACCACAGACAATTATTTAACTGTAAACTTTTGTAAATTATCAACAAAATAAGTTTAGGTTTTTTTTTATTAAGTATAAAATAACAAATTAATTAATAACGGGTCGTGCTGCACCGTTACGTCCAGATAAGAAAAAAGTGCTCTCTAACTTATCGAAAATGGGTCACTCCATTAGTTATGTAGCTAGAGCTATTAGACGCAGCCGAGCTGTGATTAAAAACTACATTAATAGTCCTCATATGAATGGAATAAAAAAAATTCCCGGGAGTCCATCAACATTAAGTGAAAGGCAAAGGTTGTTGAGACAACCTTCAAATTCTTCATTAACTTAATTAAAAATTGCTGTAGAAGCAGGTGGGCATTTCCAAAAAATCACGCACAGAAACTCGTATATGTTTTTACTTTTCATTTCAGTTTTTTTTTTCATAAAAATAAAACTAGCGATCTCCAATTTACTCTCATTAAATTCTAATCAATATAAATATTTTGTAAACAAAAAATAGTAAGCATTAGTAATGCTAACAAAGAATAAATAAAGTTTGAAATGAAATCACGCACGGATCAGAAAAACTTCTATTTTAGTTACTAGATAAATAAACTTTAATTCCTCGGAAAATATAAGTTTCACCGGTATACTTTTTTTTTTTAATAATATTTTAAACATTAGTAAAGATTTCCAGAAAGTTATAGGATTGCACTATAAATCAGAGTTAAAGCAATCGTTTAAATGCAGTTTATAAATGACACGCACGGAAGTCACGCACGGATGTTGCGAATTTGTCAATTTCATGTAGTTATTTTTATGAAAATAAATTGCTTGAGTATTTCAAGTGAAATATTATACTTCTACGACTCATATTTAATATACTTTTAATGAGAAATGGCAGTCATCAATTATTTCTAGCTAGAGTATGGTGTTTTGAAAATTATTGTATATTTTTCAAAATGTAGCAATATTATTACTCAAAAAAAAAAAAATTGTAAAAATGTGTATATTTAATTTATTCAGCCTAAAATATGATAAAAATATTTTTGTTATAATTGTTCTTTAAGAAAATCAAAATAGTATGCATATTGCATCAAGTCCCATCTTTTAATTGCTAAAACAAAGAAAAATAAAAAATAACGCACAGAAATAGAAATGCCCATGTGTGATTGCTAATTTGCGTACAGTTCAGCCAGTTCTTCATTATGCTTTTCACCTTTTGTGCAAAAAATTTCAGCGAAAACCGCCTGACAACAAATCACATAAACAATTGAATAACTTTTGCAAAGGACCATGTAACATGGAAAGAAGTGTGGCAACAAGTAGTATTTACTGACGAAAAAGGATTGATTTGGTGTGCGATTGGGTATCATGGTAAATCAAGAATTAATTTTATTGACTGAAAAATGAAGGCTATGGATTAAATTTTAATTGTTCAAGAATTTTTAAAACGTGAAGCATCTGTCGTAGGTGGTGAAAATTTTGTTTTTCAGCAAGATAATGCTAGCAATCATACGGCTAAGATATTATAGGAATATTTCAACAGCAGTAAAATTGAAACTGAAGTAGCCAGCTAGATCTCCAGACCTGAAGATTATTGAGAATGCTTGGGCACAGCTGTCACATAGTGTTTGAAGGTGGTAAACAATATAGTTCACTACCTGACTTGAAATCATCCATTGCATCTGCATAAGATTCAATTGACATTTCATACATAAAAAAGTTGTATGATTCTTTACCTTCTAGAATGATTGAAGTGATTCAAAAAATTGGTAAAAGTGCCCACTATTGTTTAAAATTGAGACATCTTTTTATATAAATGAGAATTTTATGAATTTTTTCGAAAAGTGTTTTATAATTTTGTCGCACTAAAAAAACATTTTTTTTTAAATAAAATGTGAGTTAGTTTTTAAGTAAATTTTTAAAACGCTGTTTAATCTTGTAATCCTTTTGTTCTCATTTACTATAAAAATTAGTTTTTAAATATAAATGTATAGTAGAACTTTATAAATATTTTTGGGGTGTCTTATCATTATGTTGCGCAGTGTACATACATACATACATACATACATACATACATACATACATACATACATACATACATACATACATACATACATACATACATACATACATACATACATACAGGCTTGGTCAGGAAGGTGTGCTATCGCACGCCATTATATGAACATGCAATAAATACTTTATTTTGACAATTTGACCACGGTTTTTAACATTTTAAAAATGCACTGAAATAAATAATTTGTAATTGCATAAAAAATTATTAACTTTGAAACTTTTATCTTTACTAACGTTTTTATATTAGCAAAATGCTTTTAAGGTATAAGACCTCTCAAAAAAAAATTAATTCAAAAAAGTATTTTTAACAAAAAAACCAATTTTATCTTGAGAAACAACTAGATAACAGGATTAAAAAATTTAAAATATATTAATTAGTTGTCATGGCTACAAAGTAAAATGGCTGACATCCAAAAATATTTAAGTTACCCCAGCCAAGCTATCTCAGTAACCGAATGCATGTAGGTTATGAATTTTTGGCAAATGAGTAGTATCATATTGATCTACAAACTGAACTAAAAGTATTTTAAAAAACTGTTTGACCTATAATTGAATTTACAAAATGGCGTATTAAAAATATGATTTTTTTGTAACTTCAAACTTCCATAAATCAAAAACTCTTGATTGTATTAAAAAACCTTTAGTTTCAAGTGTACAACTAAATGCAATAAACATTTAGTGAAAATTTCATAAAAATTTGACTTGCAGTTAACGAGATGGCCTGGAGGTCTGTATTGATGGCCTGGAGGTCAAAAGTTTACATTTTGAGAAAAACTCGTTTGAATAATATTTTCATATTCTTTCATAATATTTTCACTCATAAACGCAATTTAAAAACTTTTATTTATATGAACATGAACCAGGGTCATCAAGACAACCTTCTTGCTCATTCACTGCGTCATCTTTTTTTTTGCATCCACAAATAAAATTTTGTCGCTTTTTAGATGTAATTTGATTTTGATATTCTGCAAAAATTAGGTGCTTTTTGTTCATGGTTGAACAGCCTTGGAGAGATTATATACCAAGAATCAAATTCAACTTTTCAAACAAAAGTATGCTTGCTTTTCTTCCAAAGTTAAAATTTAAAACAGTATCATAAACCGTAACTCCAACTGCGTTAATAAAACATACTTTGTTTTAGGTATGGGCTGCCACATCATCCCATTAAAATCCATTTTGGGTTTTACCATTAAGGCATTTTTTTAAGAGTTCTTCTTAAGATAAATCTATATACATAGGCTTTAACCCCTGGTGACAAAAATTTGGCACAATCTTTAAGAAACTATAACTTATTGAATTTTTAGTTATCCAGTCTTACTTTTTAAGTTGTTTTGTTTATCAAGTGTTAGTTATCTTTTTCTGAAAGTTTTGTTTGTCTTTGTTTAAATAATAAAAAAGTTATCTAAAAATGAAACCAACTACATTAGTTGAACAAGTGTACAACTATTGTAATTTGCATCCTAACGCTAAAATGAAGAGCATCGAAGAGTATTTTGTTGCTTCTGATCACCCCGAAAGAACCATCAAACGTTATATGGCAAAGTGGAAGAACAATGAGTGAAAGTTTTGTAAGTCTGGATCAGACAGAAAACCAAAAACTATGACTGCTAAGAACATCAACAGCCTGACAGTCTTTTGAACAACCAGTCTGGAACTTCAACAAGAAAAATAACAAATAAATTCAAGTGTGATCTTCCCTACATAGTAAAAACATTAATAAAAAAAACAAACATTTGTTATTTTACAAAAAGAAATCCCTGATCGCACTGATAAACAGTTGCAACTGAAGTGTGGAAGTGTGAAGTGTCACGGTTTCTGAATTTTTCACAAATTTAGAAACTGTGACTTTGTCATTGGCGATGAGTCTTATTTTACATTTAAACATACAAATAAAAATTTTAATGCTGGGATGCTACTAATTTTAAATTATAAAAACATTAGTAAAGGTTCAAAGTTATTTATTTCAAATGTAATTAATTTTATAATCTTATTGTTTATTATTTAGTTTTTTTTTTTTTGTTTTGTTTTGTTTTGTTTTGGTTATTTATTACTTAGCAATTTTTATTTTATTTTTTATTATTTTTTAAAGAAGATTTTTTTTCTTTTTTTTAAAAAAGTTTTTTTTTAGTTTCTTTATAACTAAGTTAAGTTTTCAGCGCTTAATTAAATTGCTTAAACTGTGGTCAAATCGTCAAAATAAAATATTATTTGTGTGGTCATATAAAGCTGTGAAATCATACATGCATACATACATACATACATACATACATACATACATACATACATACATACATACATACATACATACATACATACATACATACATACATACATACATACATACATACATACATACATACATATCTCACATATGAAACTAAAAATTAAATGTTACAACATTAATATTATTATTAAAATACATCTACCATTGCAGTAAAATTATTTAGTATTAATAACATCTTAAAATGTAAAAACTATGCAATTTAAAAATGTAAAAATAAAAATTTACTTGAACTGGATGTTTGACAAGCGTTAACATTGTTAGCCTTGAAGTTTCTCTAACTAATGATGGTTTACCCAAACGAGCCTCAATAAACCTGAAAATATATTTAAAAGTTACTATTTATACAATTATTATTAAACAATTTTAAAGTAATGATAATTTATAATTAAATGAAAAGCAAAGATTTTAGTGATTTAAAAATTACTAAAAATAGAAAAAGTATTGGAGGCATATAAACTTTTTTCAAATATATAAAACTTCTGATGTAATTAGCAACTAAAACCGATTTTTTGATTATTACTACATTTTAAAACAATGATGCAAGTTGTCAAACAGCAACCAGTATTTTTTTATAAAAAAAGGGTAGTATTTTTAATAAGATCAATAAATTCTCTTTACTACAGTTTCACTTTTGAATATATTTCAAAGTAATTATAATCATCAGTGGTATTGAAGTGAATACCAAAAATATAACACACATGATAATATAAAAGTTAGTAAGATTTACATATAAGCATTAGTATTAGGGGTGAGCAAAAATATCCGATTAACCGGATATTTTAATTTCTGGTCCGATATCCAATTTAAAAAATACAAAAATTTGGATATTTGAACCAGAAAAAGCAAACTGGTTATCCGATCCATTTTTCTATTAATATTCGGATCCGGATTACAATCAGTTATTAAACCGGATATCCTGATCTGATCCGGTTTTTTGCACTTGTTAAAGAAATAACAATTTTATATGTATTCGATATACCTATAAATCATATACCTTATACTAATATATACTTATACATTATATAAATCATATTCTCTATATACCTTCTATCAACGCTTAACAACTCAAAATCTGTATTAATTACAAAGAGATTGTAATTATGATAAAATAAAAGAATTGTGAATGTATATGATCACACCGCCACCTACGCAAGTATTACGTATTTGATGGAATGATACATAATTTGTTATGTTATAAATAGTACATAATACTTAATGAAATTGCTTATAGAAAAATACAAATAAAACATTTTTATTTTTTATTAACAGTCTTGTTATTTACTGACTCAAAGTTTTCTAAAACTATTAAAAACTATTATCTTAAACTATTCATTTACTCAAGATCCATGAACTGAAGGTATGAGCAATATATAGTAATATGTTTTTTACCCATTGAATTTGATTTTCATAGAAAGAAATTTTGTATGTGCAATGATTGTAACGCAAACAATTTCCTTTGAATATAAATTTCTAATAATCGATTAGCAATTGTGGAAAAAGTAATTCCGTTTAGAGAATTACACAAAAAATAACTGCTAAAAGACTTGTAGCAATTATTTTCCATGTGATTCTCCAAGCCTAAAAGCATTCCCCAAGAGACTAATACTGTACGAAGAAATATTGCATAAAAGCCGTAGGGCTAAACTCAATAGAGTTTAAAAAACAACGGCACAAGAAAACTAAACATAATTAATATAATAATTAGTTGTAACAATTTAGTACATATATAGAAATAAATAAACACACGAAACATTACAATTACTTATTTATACATAACTTCACAAGTTAGTAATATAGTATCATCTTAATTCTCACACTTTATATTTGATAACTATTTTTTATATTTTCTGCATTACATGTTTTATCCAGCTTCTGTTGCATTCTTCAATTTGAAAATATTATATTTGTATGAATCAGAATTTTACTTGTTTTTACTTTCTATGCAGGCCAAAAATAATGTCTTGTTAGTTTAACAACCACATTGGCAAGATTAGGAATTTACCCCAAATATTTTTAAATCATTTTAATCTTTAAAATTTGACGTGATAGAAGAGAAAGAATTGCATATTTTAAATCAGTAAGAGAAATACTATTAGAAACACATATTGTATGCAAAAAAAAAAGTAAAATTTTGTTGGCCTGTTTTATTTTCACATCCCCTCGTACTAAACACGCGAAAGTATATAAAAAGTATATAACTAGTTAATATGTTTGCAAAAGCAGAAGACTATCTAAATTGTATAATTAGTTTCAGTTTCGGATAAATGCAGTTTCCGATCCGATTGTAGCAGATATCCGCAAATCGGATATCCAATAAACCGGAACCAGAATTGGTTTAGAGTTTTAACTATCCGAAAATCTGGTATTGGATTTGGATTTGAAATGGTAGTTAAGCTTTGAAGATTTTTTGTGATTAATTAAATGACTGCTCTTATAACTATTCTTAAGTAATGCAAAATATATTTAAAATATAGTGGAATAAATGAAATTGTACATCAAAATTTTAAACCACACAAAAATTGTGGCAAAAAATTTAAATATTATTTATTAAAGCATCGTAAAAAATCTATAAAAAATCAAAGTTAAATTTAAATATAATATATAATAAAAGAACACCTTGCAGTAACACCTGTACCCATCTTTGCAGCATATACACCAACAGCTAACAATGACAAACCAGCTACCTAAGTATCAGAAATATAAAGAAATAATAATAATGTGTTTTTAGCAGTATCAACTTTTTTCAACAGAATCAAAGTATTTTTACATTAAACTTACAGAAGCAGATATTTTGTCCCAGTCTGAAAGAAAATTTGTAACTCCTGTTCCAATAATGGCCCCTGCAGCTCTAGAGTAATAACAAAACTCATTAAAGAATTTAAAGAAAAAAATTTATTAGTAAAATATATATATACACATATATACACACACACACACACTTATATATATATATATATATATATATATATATATATATATATATATATATATATATATATATATATATATATATATATATATATATATATATATATATATATATATATATATATTTTCCACGCTGTATATATATATATATACAGCGTGGAAAATAAGATATCAAAGGCAAGCAGTCATTTTGACTGGCTAACGCATGAAGTTGAAAGTCAATTATTTATTTAGGATGGTCAAATTTTTTTTTTCTTTATTTAAATTTTTGTCAGAATAATAGTTCTTCATAATCAAAACTAAACACACAAAAATTACGAGTTCATTAATTTTTAATGCTCAAAAATTGATGAACTCATATTGTTTATAAAACTATCATTTTAAATAAAATCAATGTATTTTTTAAATTTAAACTCCAAAATAACTAATGCTCAAACTACCTTCTAAAGTCAATTTGTTTAAAATTACGCTTGCGCTCACAGATTTTCATTCAATTAAAAAAAGAAATTTGATAGTATCTAATATTGATTTTTTTAAATATCAAAACAAATTTTATACAATATTAAAAAAATTTTAACTGAATACTTAATACTAAAATAAATTGTTATATGAATGCTTTTGAAAAATAAAAGCGCTGTTTGTTTTTTATTCGCCTTCTTTAACACGGGTTGAAGTTTGATGTTCCATTTACAATTCAATAATAAAAAGGAAAAAAAGTTAGCAATTGATAACTTGAAGTTTATTTAAAAAATGATTTATTCTATGCAATGGCCTCACTTTGACAGGAAAAGGTTACAAAAAATAAAAAATTATGAAAAGGAAATAAAAAACAGAACAAAAAAGTACAGTTAGTAGAGAAAATGTTCTTAGTTCCATATAAAAATTTTAAACAATAATTTTATCTTTTTCATAAAATTATTATAAAATAAAATTATTTTTAAATTTTAAATAATAATTTTATCTCTGATTTTAATAAGCAGAGATATAAAATATTTCTTTATCTCTGCTCATTTGAAAAACAGAAAAAATTAGATATTTATAACTTTATCAACATTACTGCGCACACTTTTTACTATTTAAACTTTATACTTAATACTAAGAAGAAAATTGTTTCATGAAAAACTACTACATAAATTACTAGTGTTACATAAAAAGAGATTTTACTAAACATATATATTTTTAAAAATCTTATTATAAAAAATTTTAAATCTATCTATAAATCGTTTATTCATTTATTACATTTGCAGCAAAAACTGAAATAAAATCTTAAAATCTTTTAATTTATTTTCTTGTTTGTAACAAGAAAATAAATAAAAAGATTTTAAAAAAAAAATAGTGACATTTAAAAGCAAAAACGCTCCCAGTTAAATACAGCAATTATTACATATTTTTATATTTATATTACAAAAATAGTATAATAAATATTTTTATTAAAACAATAATAAGATATGAACTTAAATCATTCATAAAAAAGAGGTTTTTAAACACCAGTCAAATAAAAGTAATTTAAATGAAACAAAAAAAAAAAAAAAAAAAAAAAAGATATAGCTTATGTTACAAATTCGTCAGCAAAACAAATTAAAGTTGTACGTCTTAAACAAAATTTTTTATATTTAAAATTTTTTAAAAAAATTGTAAAGAATTCATAATTTTACAAGAAAAATACTAATGCTATACTAAAGACAATATTCTCTACTTTTGTTAGAATTTAATAGTGATTTAAAATAGATCACTTTAAAAAAGATTTTCAGTTATTCAAACTTTCAGTTATTTAAAGTAAATTCTTATGACCCTAGAAGGTTTTATTATTATTAACAAAACTACAAAATAATAATGACAATAATGTATAAACATGTTGTTTTGCATATATTTGTACTTTGGTGTAAAAATGCAGTCTTCCAAAACATTCAAAACTTTTTTTATAACTACGCATCTTTTAGAATAGCCTTGATGAGTTTATAAATTTTTTCTTGCATAATCTTACTCCATATGGTTTCAATAGCTACAGCACTTGAATTTATCATTTAATGGCTGATCAACATTAATCAGCTGAAATAAAAAAAATAAAAACCAGACAATCAAATCATTTTTAGATCATTTTTATCAACTTGATAAAATTTTACCAAAATTTAATATACACTTTTTTTAACCTTACATAATTAAATTGCTTTTGCAGTTTTAACTTTAATTATTTTATTTAGAATTTAAATAAACCATTTGCTTTAATGGGTTTCTTTAATTTGTTTATTTAAAATTTAAATAAACATTCATTTTGCCTTATTTTTTTAAAAATGTTTTATCTTGAGAATAGATAAAACATTGGCATTTTTATATTAATTATCATGTTTAGAATTTAAATTAACTTTAGTTTTGCAGTATTTATTTTAATTATTTATTTTGGATATAAATAAATTATTTTATTTAGAATTAAAATAAAACTTAGCCTTTTTTTTTAAGGTATTTTATTTAAAGATGTTCATTTAAAATAAAATATAAAACAATTTTTGTTTTTGTGGTTTTTATTTAATTATTTCATTTAGAAAATAAATAAAACATTTGTTTTGCTGTTTTATCTTATTTAGAATTAAAATAAAACTTCTCGTTTTACTTTTATTTCTTAATTATATAGAATTTTAATAAGTTGTTTGTTATTAAATTAATATGAATTCAATTTAAAATATAATTCATTTTAATATAATTTTGATGTTAATTTAATATTTTCAACTTTCTGTATTTCATAGGTATTTTTATTATCTATTATTAAAGTTTGACGAGGAATTACTGCCAATCAAATTTGATTGACCAGATGTAATTTTAAGAGATCAAAATGTCAATTTTTCTAAAAGTAGCTGATCAATGATTGGCTACTATTTCGAGCACTGTAGCTAAATATAACTCATCTACATTTTTGAAAGATCTTGTGTTTAAATAAGAAATATTCTCTAACAGGACCTTTCAAGTTATACTTTTAAATTTTTGAGATTGGAAAAGAGTATTGCTCCGAAATACTATTTTCCAATCATTAATAGTCCAGCATCTGTGAGCGCCTATAGATCAAATTATCTATGAGCTTTTCAATTCTTTAAAGAAATAAAATGTTTTTTTTTGCTTCTCTAAAACTTAAAAATTCCTGAAAATTGTAGCTGTCTGCAAACTGTTTTTTTTGAACATTCAAGTTTTAGTTTTTGAATGGCATTATTAGCGCTGTCATAATAATACTTTTTAACGTGACCAATAAGTTTTCTGTCTTATTTCGCATGATTTTTTTCTGCTCTTATATTTCATTTCTATATTTCTATAGACTACCTTTATTAAATAGTTTGATTACTTAAAAAGCTAAATTATACTTGTTTGCTTCCATAATAAAGAATCATAACCCAAAAAATCAATAAGACAAATCTTTTATGTTATAAAGATATTTCATCAAAACAGCACAAAACTGCAATATTAAATCAATATTATTCCTCATAATACCACACAGACCACAAAAATGAACAATGAACACTTTGTAGTTGTTTTTCTTAAGTAGTTATAAAAAAAGTTACATTAATTAAAATTTTTACATTAAAATACATATACATTTTTTTAATTTATAGTATACATTGAATAAAGTATATACTATAGCTTTATTTATCCTTAAGTTAATTATAAATAAATAATTTTATACTATAAAAAAAACATACTTAAGAGATTGCAAAACTGTCTCCCTGTGTTCTGCAGCTTTTAATTTAATTTGTTCTAAGCGAATATCTTTATTTTCTCTCTCTATTACTCCTCTAAAATAAAATCATAAATTAACATATTCCTTATTTTAACATTTTATAAATAAGGAAAATACTTTTCTTAAATAAACATTTATTGACAAAAAGCATTTTTTTTTTTTAATTCACCAAAAGAATTGCATGTAAAAAAAATATTTCATACTTTGCCCTCATTTTTGCTGTAAGTTGCTTCATTTCGTTTTGATGACGAATTTCTGCTTCATGCTCAATTGTAGCTAATTGTAAAAAAAGAAACTCAATAAATTTTTTACTAATAAACAATTTTAAAAATAGCAAACTATTCTTATAGAGATTTTACCTCTTCTCATGGCTTCTTGTTTTTTAACTGATTCTTCTTGTCTTAGCAAATTTTCATCATTCATTTTTTTCTAAAACCAATAATATATAAATATATATATATATATATATATATATATATATATATATATATATATATATATATATATATATATATATATATATATATATATATATATATATATATATATTTAAACAATTTAAAATGTATTCTACAAAAAGAGTGCTCAATGTTCTTAAAAGAACAGAGCAATTACAAATTAGTAGAAAATCACTTAGCAAAATTTTTTCTCATTTGAACACAGTGTTAAATGAGAAAAAATTTGGCTAAGTGATTTTCTACTAATTTGTAATTTATATATATATATATATATATATATATATATATATATATATATATATATATATATTTATATATATTTATATATATATATATATATATATATATATATATATATATATATATTATATATATATATATATATATATATATATATATATATATATATATATATATATATATATATACATATACAGCTCTCTTGTCGAATTCACTTAGTGAATTCAACAAGAGGGCTGACTTTAGCAATCAGCAATATTGCATTTTCTTATAACTTTAACAAAAATACTATTAATTCTAGATTTAGATTGGTTCTAAAAATTCTTGTATAAATCTGTTAAATCTTGATTATTTGATATTCTCAGTAGGTCTTCTTTTTTCTTTTTATTTTACTAGAATAGGCTTTTATAATAAGCACGTCAACTTTTGTGTATTATGTGAGTAGACTTAATAAAGTAATTGTACAGCCTAATTACTATTATAGCATTGTTAATGGTAAGATTTTAGCTGTGCTTATTAAAAAAACTTTAGCTACTTAAATTAAAATAAAATTATATTATATATAATATTGTTTTATTCTTTATTTTTGTATTATATATAATTTAGTAAAATAAAATAAACTTAGTTTAGTAAATTAATAAAAATAAATTAACAAAAATTAGCAAAAATAATTTGAGACATGCCTAGAGAATGTTCAGACAAAAATTGTTAAAGAAACTATGATAGTACAGAGAAACCTGTAAAAGTTTCCAAGTGATAAAAAATTATGTTTAAGACAGCAGCTTTACCAAATATAATTTAAAATCCAACTAATAATATGGGTATTTATGAAAAGCACTGGCCTTTAGGATGCAGTATGCATCCTAAAGGCCATTATGCATCCATTATATATATACACGCCAGTATGCATCCATTATATATATACAGGCCTCTGCGGGAAGCGAGAGCTTTAGCTCTTACTTCCAGCTGAATAAGGGGAGTGTATGCATTATATATATATACAGCTGGAAGTAAGAGCTTTAGCTCTTACTTCCAGCTGTATATATATATAATGCATACACTCCCCTAAAACGGTTTAGGGGAGCAATATACGACTTACGATAGTATTTTATAGATTGCATCAGATCCTCCACCAATATTTCCTGGTTGCGCTTTTTCAATGTTATGACAAACAGGCACAAATTTGGTTCAACAAATTTTATAAAGATTTCAATGGAATCCAGAAACTCATCACCCAATGAATTAAGTTCTTTTAACAAGATAGATTATATAGAAAGTTCTTAAAGATATTAAAGCAATAGTAAGAAATATAATTCAATTACTTAATGTATTGTGTTAACAATTTATTAAAGTGCTTTATTAATTTTTATTCTCATTACTATTTGACATATTTCTAGATTATCCCTGATTATTTTGTAATAACAAGTATATCAGATGCAATTTTTCTTTTAAATCAGAATCATTGAGGTAGGAACTCTAAAAGAATGTACTGAATATATAAATTAAGTATTTGAAACATTATTGAATTCTAAAAAACGTTGTCTTCTTTTTGACAAAATTTATGTTAAACCAAGTATACGTTTTTGAGGATGTCATTTAGTAGGCTACAGTGAAGATAATCCTTTTAAAGTTGCTAGGACAATACTTTATTTTATGTTTAAGTTAGGAAAACCAGCTTTTGTTTGTCGTATGGTGCTAATCTTTAAGCTTTCTGTTAATTTTTTACAAAGTTTTATTGTTCAAATCACAAAGTAGCTGAACTAGGTAGAAAAATTTTATGCCTTATTTCAGGCAGTCTTGCAACAAAGTGCAGTGTCTTTAAAAATTTTACTTTGAATGTGGATATGCTATGGCTAGGTAAATTTTACTTTGAATGTGGATATGCTATGGCTAGGTAAATTTTACTTTGAATGTGGATATGCTATGGCTAGGTAAATTTTACTTTGAATGTGGATATGCTATGGCTAGGTAAATTTTACTTTGAATGTGGATATGCTATGGCTAGGTAAATTTTACTTTGAATGTGGATATGCTATGGCTAGGTAAATTTTACTTTGAATGTGGATATGCTATGGCTAGGTAAATTTTACTTTGAATGTGGATATGCTATGGCTAGGTAAATTTTACTTTGAATGTGGATATGCTATGGCTAGGTAATATTAATAATCAAAATCTTGTAATAATCCAGTGGATTTATTTAAATCAATTAGAAATATTTAGCTTCCTGAAAAGACTGGTACAACTCATCAAACACCAAATGGTCAGTTATTTAAAGGCTACTGGAAGGATTTGGTAAGCTGACATGACAGAAAAAAACAACATTGTCAAGTTGACAAATCTCTTAATCACAACTAGTGATTTCTCTGGCTAACCGGATTGGTGGTTAACCGGATTTTGTTTGAATATCAAATATCTATAATCGAATAATAAAAACCAACTTTTTTGACTTTTGACTTTAGTTTTTAAAAACACTTTTAAATAAATTGATTTTAAAGAATTAAACACAATTGATTTTAAAATGCAAATCAATGACATAATTTTATTTGAGTTAAGTTAAATAACTTAAGTTTTTGCGCTGATGTTTTCCGCTTTCACCGTTGTTGTTGTTACGTTCTATCTTGACTTTTTTATTTAAGAACGTTTCACATTCAAAAACATTATAAAAGAGTTTTGTGTTTATTTCAAATGTAATTCCAAATAAATAAATTCTTAATTAACTGTAATTTAAATTGTTTTTTCTTAAATTTTTAGTTTCCTCAATTTAGTTAATTTTTTTGGTTTACTCTTTTGTTATGTTTTTTTTGTTTGTTAATTTTTTTGTTTGTTTTGTTAATCTTCTCTTTAAAGCAAAGATGATAGATAAACTGAAAAAGTGAATTGAATAGTTTAAACAAAACACTACATTCGTTGAAATTTGGAAGATCCTGTATTCAGAAAGCATTATTAATGACAATGAGTACTAACTACATTGGTTGCAAAACCGTCATTTCTGACAGGCAAATATTTAACAAAAGCAAATCAGTTTATGCTTTATAAGATTTTTTGGTTAACCAAATAGTTAGTGAATCGCAAATTGATGGGATCTCTTATCTGGTTTTTTAAACAGATACTAAACAAATACACTATTCTAAGCCATTTTATAAGGGCATTTGATTGTTAAAAAGTAGCCAATATATGTGCAGATGTGAATGAGAGGACTGTAGCTGCTCTTAAATATTTGATTTCAAGTAGACTAGTGAGTTTCTTGATAGAGTATTGTCTGTATGGGATTACATATTAAACAAGACGGAATAGACATATGTTTGAATAATCCAAATAGAGCTTCATACAAACACACGCCAATGATAGCGACTTCAAGAAATGTTGGTATTTGCTGACAGAGTTAAAGCAATGCCAGACGGAAACTGTCATTAAATGCCAACATTTACTGTTAGCAAGCTAAACACAATAAACCATTTTAAGCAAAGCTAAAAAATCTTTGTCAAGTACGCTATATGGAATTGTGCATTTAGTCAGAATATTGTTCACCGAAGTCATCAGTATGTTCTTCATGGGATTTTTCACAGAGATCAATTAGAAGGAGAATTTGGAATATATAGGTAATAAAATTTTGTGCAGCCAGTCTATGTGTTTTATAACCATTATAATAGTTATTATGTAAAAATATTTAATAAAATCCAAATTTTTACACTTTTATTTTTTATGGTTCAATGTATCTAAAATTTCTCTAAAGGCAATTTAGATAAATAAATTTTAACTAATTTAAATTGTGATAGAGGAAGTTCAAAAAAGTTTGCATTTACATTGTTAAATTTGTTTAGTAAATTGGATGCTATGGATTTGCCTATATCTAAGTACTCCATTGTTCAATCAGAAAGTTATTACTTAAAAGTGATTGAAGATGATATTTATTATCTGGATATGTGTATCTCATCAATAAATGCCATTTAGGAAGAAGAAAATGCTGCCCTGTATGAAATTTCTGGTTACATCCGAAATAAGTTAGCTTTATGTATTTATATTTCCAGTACCTTTGACACAAATGCATCTGATTTTGCAGACTTGTTTTTCCGTGGTGACCTAAGTCATTCTACTGAACATTTATTTCAGTATGTAAGACATGCTTATTCTTTTTTCATTTTAATACCTAATGCAGAGTTACGGTTTCAGTACGTAAAAACTTTTTTTGTATTTGTATACAGCTCTACCTTTTGATTTAGAAAAATTGCATCTTACCCCAGTTGTCTCCGCTATTTCAAATTTCTTAAACCCTTTTCCAAGGGTTTAAGAAAATTGGATGGCTCAAACAAAGTATCTTTAAATATTGATGACCGCAAAATAAATAAAATAAATTTATTTAGTATTATCGCTTGGCGATAATACTGAACTTGCCTTTTTCTGGGCCCAGCCGTATATTTAAATGTTAAGATAAATAATTTTGAATATTTTTCTTTATAGTAAAATACATAATAATAATAAAATAAAAAAGTTTTTTAGCTAAATATATTATTATATATTATTACAAATATAATTTTATTTAATAAAATTTATAATAAATTAATTATACCAACTATATTGTATATACTTTTTGTTGTTATTAGAATTAGATAATTTTAATACCATTTAAAAAAGAACCTATAAAATGTTTAGTGTGACACACACACACACACACACAGATAAATATATATATATATATATATATATATATACATATATATATATATATATATA